TTTTTTTTTTTTTTTTTTTTTTTCACATGGGCAGTTGGTGGACTATAGGTAATCACCATAAGTAACACTCATAATAATCATCCAAAGTCCCTCCAATTAGGGAATCTTGGGGAGCCAGAAAACCCCCATACATGGCACCAAAGCCCACTGTGGCTCCATTCATAAGAATCTCCTTCCCTTATGACTCTTAATTTGCCCTCAAAGTCCTATTGCTTTTTAATATTGAAGTGCATTTCAGACTTTCCTAAGCCATTGCTTTGCAAAACTAAGTCTGTTCTAAAGAAATCATTAGAATTTCTGTTACAGTGAGTTCATCAGTGGGTAGATATTTAGAAAAGCTCAATGACTTCTCTAATTTCAAGGAAAAAAATTGAGAAGCATTACCTTTTTGGCAAAAAATAAAAATAAAAAAGAATAATTCCATTGGCATATATTTTAGACTAATGTTCTAGAACTATGTATGATAAAATTAATTCCTCTTAAAGCATTAAAATTAAAAGTTAAGTTTCTCTGCTATCCCCTATTGAAACTTTCAAAACAAAGCTAAAGCAGCCCTTGAGAGAAAAAGTTTATCACAAGATCCAAGAAATACCATTTATCCCTCTCTATATTTTTTTATTACACAGGAAGAGGGAATCAATTAAATAAATAATATCCTTTCACAGTATGCTAAATGTCACAAAGGAAGCTAATCTCTTTCAGACATGTTGATCACATCTATAACATTAGTAACATAGTGACTCTATGAAGCAGTCCCTTTATTTTTATAAATTCAACTTCTAGTCACTCTGTAAGAAGCCACACTATTTATGACTCAAAAGTATAGTTTCTATGTGGCATGATTCATGTGGTTTAGAAATAGCTTGTATACTTTATAATCAAAAATATATGAAGTAGAAGTTACATTAAAACTCATAAATTTAGAAAAGGTATATAATATTGCATGATTAATAGCTAAATTTATTGTGGGTCACATACTGTCCTAAATACTTTCTATACACAGACTTTAAAACAGCACAAGGAAATGACTATCTTAGAACCTCTATTTTTCAAAAATTGTAACTGAGGCACAGAGAAGGCTAGTAACTTGCCTGACATCACACAGCTAGTAAGTGGTAGCATCAGGATTTGAACCCAGACAGCCTGCCTCCAGAATCTATTTACTTATCTGCTACACCATATTGCCTCTACATTAAATTCATCATTCACTATTCTTTTGTATAAAAGCAGGTGCTAAGTCATAAGCAAGGTCCTATACAAAAATTCAGAAAAGCAAAACTGACCTCCATTGTGTCAATTCCATATCATAGCAATCCCC